AGGGTTTGCAGTGTAGATGTATCCTGAGTGGCTTACCCAAAGCCACACAATGAATCTGCTGTCAAAGTGGGTGCTAGATCTGGCATCCAGTCCCATGCTCACTCCTCATCACACTGCGTCTCACAAACTGCGTATGTAGTATAAACAGTGGGGTTTGTCATGTATTTATTGCTTTCAATTAAATCATGTAGTTTGTCTACGCTCCTTCGCTTTTATGACTTGTATACCTGTCTGACATTTGTCACTTTCTTCAGAGCTTGGAGCCTGATGGGATTTCAGATGATACAAGAGCAGTGTCTGTTTCCAAGAGTCCTTCCTCCAATTCCACATCTGTTTGTTAGTCAGTGAAAAAGTTGTTTATCATCATCATATTAAAAAAAACAAATCCCTACTTTTACCTCTTCATATAAACATAATTTATAACTTAAGTGTTATTTCAGAGAGGATTTGTACAGCGCTCTTCCAAACAGGCAAGAATTTATCTGAATAGCTCGTGTGATGGCAGGCAATGCCTGAACCCTTTATCTGGAAAGCTATCTCCCTCTCTGACCACCTCCCACACCACCAAGGACAAATGGGCTTCCATTCTAGTGTTGAATGACACAGGCATATTGACCAGTTCTGAATCAAGAGTTTTCTAATCAAGAGGCTGCTGACTGGAAAGCTTTTGCAGGGAAGCCCCAATATCCGTTCAATCTTTGACAGTTTCAGGTGGACCTGAAAAAAAAACCCTCAAGTCAAAGTCAGATGCACTCATCTTCTCAAGGCTCCACCTGCCTGATTAACCCTATTCATTCAGACTGCCAATAGACAAACAGAGTAAGAGCCTCCTGCCTCCTCCGTCTCCACTTGTTTCTACCCCATCCCATCCCGAGGGCGAATAAAGTGTCAAATTCTATGGGAGTATCATAGAGTATCTGTCACAGGTATTTATATGGTTACGATTACCATAGTATCTGAGTGCCTCTGAATCTTTAATGTCTTTATCCTCACAATACCCCTGTGAGGCAGGGAAGTGCTATTACGCCCATTTTATAGGTGGGGGACTGAGTCAAGAGAGACTCAGTGACTTGCCCAAGGTCACACAGGAAATCTGTGGTGGGACAGGGTATTGAATCTGGGTCTCCTAAGCCCAGGCTAGCGCTGTAAGCACCAAACATTCTTCTCCAGTGTGATACCTTTATTCATGTTGAATGGCATCAAAATCTGGCCCTAAGTCACAAGGTGTAAGACAAGAGGGGGATTTGGTTGGTTTTATGGACTTTGTCTCTATTATTTGGGTTAAGGAGAAGGGAGGACATGAAGGTAGAAATGTTTGTAAAATAGAAAAATAAATTGTACTGTTTTTCAGAATATGCCATCAAGAAAACGCTTTAATGAAGATTTAATTTGAAGCAGTACAGTGCTGAAGCTGGCCTAATGCATAGCTTGTTAATGGAAGTGGTGCAAACAGGAAGACATAAGCTGCTTGGCTAGCCATTCCATCAAATTAAATTACTTCTTTGCAGGGTTTGAAGTCACTGCTTTAGTCACAAGCGACACATTCCTTTCAAGAAGATTCATAGATTTAAAGAAATTTTACCTCTTCAGGTGTTTCTCTCCTAGGTTTAAGCAAACAGTTTAACATCAGTTCTATTATCTGTTTCCCAAGAGCGTGTGCTGTTACTTCAGTTGCACTTCTCTCACTGGCGACAAGTCACATTTCATTAAAAGAAGCATTTTGAAATTAAATAATATGCTCTGTGAGGAAAAAGATTAATATTAAAATATTAGTATTCCAGTTGTTTTGCGTTACTCAGTCGCAAAAACATATCCTTGTAATTTGAGCACTGTACTGAACCTTCCCCTTCATTTGTTTTATGTTGAATATTTTCATTTCTTTTTGTGCCTTTCTTTTCTTCACTGCCCTGCCCTGCCTGTGCTCCCAAGTGACTATTTGAGACCTCCAGGTAATGCCACTTTTAACTTTAACAATGCATCTTGTTGTATTTCTTTTAATGTTACCTTTTTCACACTTTAAACTTTCCAACCATAAAGCAAATTTAGGACAACTCTGTTGTTACACATTCATATGGTCAGAACCATATGAATCCCCGCATCATACTATCTCCATCTTTCCTTGTTCCCAAATGTGTTACTAAAAAGTGTGGTTTTACCATTATTTTGCTTTCCAGACACACTTTAAAAAATTTCTTCTAGAGTAAAATCACAATATTTGGGGCTTTGTTTAGCCTTCCAAGGCAAGGTTGTGGCTCACTCTGTCCACCTGCACAATAGGGTAAGGATATGTAAACTACATCCTTATTCCTCTGTATGGGCTACACACATCATAGGTTATAGATAGGGCCTTACCAAATTCACAGCCATGAGAAACACGTCACGGACTGTGAAATCTGGTCTTTTGTGTGCTTTTACCCTATACTATACAGATTTCATGGGGGAGACCAGTGTTTCTCATATTGGGGGTCCTGACCCAAAAGGAAGTTTCAGGGGGGTCACATGGCTATTTTAGTGGGGTCCTGGTATTGCTACCCTTACTTCTGCGCTGCCTTCAGAGCTGGGGAACGGCAGCTGTTAGCCAGGCACTCAGCTCTGAAGCCAGCCTCCCACCAGCAGCAGTGCAGAAGGGTAGCCGTACCGCAACCCCCCTCCCTACAATAACCTTGCATCCCTTGGCCTGCACCGCTTCCCGCAGCCCCCATTGGCCTGGAGCAGCGAACCGCGGCTAGTGGGAGCTGCAATCGGCCAAACCTGCGGACGCGGCAGATAAACAAACCGGTCCAGCCTAGCAGGGGCTTTCCCTGAACAAGTGGCAGACTGCCTTTGAGAACCACTGATCTAGCTCATGGTTCTGTTTTCTAAGTGGTGGGAGCATACAGTTACTGCTCCCGGTTGATGTGTCTTGCCGGGTGTATTGTAAGCCCCTTTAATTTGATGGTAGCTCTCTATTTTTATTTTGTCATTTTAGCTTCCATTAAATACTTGCTTGTTTTCCTCTCCAACAGCCCAGTAATAGGAACATTTTGGCAGCAGCATTCCTTATTCTCCACATTCTCCACTTTCAATTCTCCCATCTCATCTTGTTAATATTTGCACCATCTTCCCAGTCACATGTCCTTTGTTTTGTTCATCATCACTTGCTGTGTTCAGCAGTTACCCTAAACAGACTTAGGCATCTAAGTAAATAGTAGTAAATATTTATATCTTTATAGCACCCAGAGTCTATAGTCGGGTTTTTTCAACTCAAGCTTTTTCACATCTTACATCCAGAACAGGTGTTGAATTTGCTGTTATCTCAGAAATCATTTTCCTTGCAACTTAGGTTGGTGAGTGACTCCTTCTCTTCCAAGTCCTCACTTTCCCTTGATGTAGCTGCAGTTTAATTTCCTTTTCAGTTTGCTTTTGAGGTGAGTCATACATAGATGACGGTAGTTCATGTAAATACACGTTAGCCACTTGATTCTCTTTGTTGATTGAAGAATAACTGTATATTATTGCAGATAAATTAGGAATATAGGAATGGGGTGATTAAAGGCTCTTCCCATATGCTGCCCACTCCACCATGCATCCTATGTGGTTTATACTTCCCTGCTCTTCCTCACCCATTTCTTTTGTTTTATGCCACTTTACCCACACAGTGACTTCAGAAATCTCTCCAAAACCTCAGTGTCGTTTGTAGTGTATACATACCTAGAGAGCTGGAATAGGGCTATCAGCATGAAAAGAAAGCTGAATCAACTTTCTTTATTTGACAGATCTACAACTGAACCTGGTAAACAATGTTTCTTGCCATGAAATGTAAATTATATTTCTAAATAATAGGCTTGATTCACTCCAAGGTTACTTTGACTTCCACTGGTACAACCCAGGATGGAGCTTCCTGATGGCAACAAGACCCTCTAGAAGGTGGGCTGTAGCAGTGAATGACACTTACAGCCTCCTATCCATTGGGCTCCTGCCGCCAGCCAGTACAGCTCCAAAAGTGATGGATGAGCATAGGTAAATGGACTCTTGGGACATGTGCTGATTCAGTGAATCTTCTGGGCAGCTGCTGCTGACACAGCTTCTATGAAGCCCTGCTTGCAATTTAATATTGCCCTCCTCATAGGAAGTCCCCAATGCAAACACTGTGTGCCCTCCTCCGTGTCTGGATTCCCATTTGACTAAGGTGGCCCTGCTGGCACTAGGAGATACCATGTGTTCTTTGTGCCAACAGGGTGAACTGAGCCCGCACTTTTGGATGCTTTTGGTTGAGGGCACCATACGAGTGAAAAAGTGATATTTTTGCCACCAGCGGATGAGAGCTGTGTAGACCAGGCTGGCTGTAATTCACAAGCATTTTGCAGCTTTTAGACTGAATGATAAGGTGGACCCAAAGCTCAGAGGCACAAGTGCATTTTACTGTCTATTTTTATTACCTATGCGCTGCACAAAAAACATCACACCTGATATTTTATCTCCTGATACCTACCATATAAATACCCTATGTCGATATTACAGCTTTGTTGTGTCATTGATCATCTTTTCAGGGAGTGCTTTATTTTATAACCTTGATTCTCTCTCTTTCTCTATGTAGTGGCATCAAATCAAGCTATGGTATGTGTAACAGCATCCCATCAGCCCAGTCCTCTAGTCCTTACTCAGGCAAAATTCCCACTGACTTCATTGATAGGTTTGTCTGAGCAAAGATGGCAAGATCAGGCCCCAGACCTACACACGGGCTCTCTCTTTGCCTTCAGTGGAGCCAGGAGTTCACCAAAGAGCTGCACTAGCAGAACTGAACGCTGGTTTTCTGGGTGAAATATTTCTTAGACTCTTGCAGGAGCCTGCACTGTGTTGTTCACAATGGGCCAATTCCTGGCCAGGCTGAACTCTGTGGGGGTTTTGCCATATACTTCAATAGGACCAGGATTTGGTCCGGTATATAATTCACCTAGTAAGTGGCTCTGGAGTACACGAGCTGTATCATGTATAATGCGGTTCAATTTTTTAATTTGTAGCTACCTCATCCCTGAATTCCCAGCTTCAGCAACTTCAGCATCTTCAACAGCTCCAGCATCATCAACAACAGCAGCAGCAACAAGGGCAACAGCAGCAGCAGCAAACGAGCCAGCAGCAGCCACAAGCTCAGCAGACGCAACAAGCCCAACAACCGCAGCCGCCACAGCAGCAGCCGCCGCCGCCGCCGCCACAACAGCAGAACCAAACGCAGCCCCAGAGCCAGACCCAACAACCGCCAGCCCAGCAGTCCTCAAACTCCCCTCAGAAACCCAACCAGTCACCAGGACATGGCCTTTCATCTCCACTCACTCCTCCAAATCCACTGCAGGTATGATGGTCCCTGATGAATAAAAATCTCTACTGTGTAGCAACGAATAGTAAATTTCTCTCTTCTGGAAGGCAGCAATCCACTCGTTGTGGGGAAAATAAAATGCACACTGCGTGTTCTGAGCGCACATGCTGCTCAGTGTCCGCTAATTTGAATCAATCCTTCATGTGCGTGCTGCTTTGAACCGAAAGCCTGTACTTGGGAAACTAGAAAAACAAAACAAGTGAAATTCCTAGACTGTTTCCTTCGGAAGGGTAGATATTATCTTTTGCTCCTGAAACAAACATGGTAAGCTCCCAGGTGAAACAGGACAAATTCTTCTCTGGTGTAACTCCACTGGGTTCATGGGTATTACAGCAGAGATCAGTTTGGCCCATCAATCGCACCATCGGCTATTTTCTGAAAGCAGCAACAAAGTCAGCTGCCATTTGAAGTTATTATGATCCCAAAATGATCGTTAGTGTACATTAAGAATGCTGTTGTCATAACATAAGTGTTCAGCAGGCTTTAGCTTCCACTATTTCCAAAAAGTTTCAAAGCAGAGGGTAGGAAAGGTGTCCTTTCTCTCATCTCCATGTTTTATCGTTAGTCTTATTAAGAACAAAAGTTATATTAAACAATATTGAGGATCCAATGGCAGACCACAAATTCAGGGTTAATTCCATCCTTAACTCCTCGTCCCACTGTCATTGTCATAGTTACAGTGACTTGTGGCTCTTTCTGTTGTTCATAAGGCCTTTTGTTGACACATGGCTAGACATAACTATGTCTACTTGCACAGACTGGGCCTCATTCTTCTCTCAGCTACTCTGGTTGTATACTGGTGTAACTCCATTAAAGACAGTGGAGAACTACTCCCGATTTACACCAGGGTGAGAGGAGTATCAGGCCTGCCGTACTTAGTGATCATATTGAGTGCCATTGCACATCAGCTTTAGAAAGGTTAGAAGATGAATATACAGTACTGCAGACAGAGAGCTATATATAAAAGCATAACACAAATTAATGTTTGGGAGCTAAAGCCAAAGAAATTCAAATTAGAAATAAGGCACAAATTTTAACGGTGAGGGAGATTAACCATTGGGACAAATGACCAAAGGAAGTAATGGATTCTCCATCTCTTGGTGTCTTCAGATCATGGATGCCCTCCTGAAAGAGATGCTTTAGCCAAACCCAAGTTATTGGACTCCACATAGTGGCAACTGGGTAAAATTAAATAGCTTGTGTCATAGAGGAGCTCAGACTAGACTCTAATGGTCCCTTCTGGCCTTAAAATCTATGAATGTCAGCTAATGTGTGCGCAAATTTCAAACAGCCAGCTACAACTTTATCTATTGGGGAGCAAGAATTCACACTAACTTCAGTAGTGCAGGAACAAGCCCTGCGTGCCTAATTATTGCGCTGTATAGAATACAGAATGTACAGTCTCCTGGTGTTTGGAAATCCCTCAAATTTGTAGAAGTAACTGACATAATAGGCTTACAACTCCATCAAAACCACTACAATCCCATTGTGCACTTTATAATTAAATAGATTCATGACTCTAAACTAGACTTGAAAAGGCATTGGTGGATATTAAAACTTTTGTTCATAATATTTCTTAAGATGAAAAAAGTATATAGCTGTATTTCAGCTAGAGGCAGGTGAAGAAGCAGTGTTAAGATCCAGATTAGGGTTGAGTATGATGGGGCCAAAGTCTTGCAAGCTGTTCCAGAAAGTTTTGTTTAAAAAAAAAAATAAAAAAAAAAACACACTCACAAGATCAGTTGCTCTTACTTGAATTTCAACATCTTGGATCCAAGTCCCACAAGAGCAGTTTTGACGACACACACAACTATGACTGTGAATACACGCAAGGAGAAGATCTCTGGAGTAAAAAGGTGCTGTTTTTATACAGTCACTTTTCAGAATAGAACTGTACTTTAAACAACAGCTAGAAACACTGGAAAAAAAGGTTTTTGTTTACTTTATTTTATAAACTTTGCCCTTACCCTTTTTATGCTTTGTCCACACTATGGTTTCAGGCCTGTTCACCTTGCATCTTTAACTCTCTAATGATTTCACTATTTTAAAATGCTTTTTACACAATTAATAAAATTGGTTTAAATGAGGCACTCAGCCCTGTCCATGCTGGCCAGTCAGATCATATGCAACCTCATTGAGACTAAACTGCATAAGAACTGAGTTTTAAAATGGTTCAGCTAATACACTAAAAGTCCATTGGAGACAGGTCCTTACTCTGTGAGCCTTTTCCACAGCAAAGCATAATGCTGCTAGAGTTCCTACTGTGTATTGTGTTAAGGGCTACTTAGGCATTACTTAGTGCACAGTCCATCATGTTAGAGAGGGCTCTGGGACTCTTTAATATGCAGATTATTGACACACACAGACAGAAATAGCTCCAAAGGAGCTGCTGTTACATTTTATTGTCTCAGTGCAGCTGCCATGCGTGCACGCTAAGTACATTTTTTATACACTACTAAAAATGCCTGTTAGCTATTTGCTTTGGAAGTTACTGTGCATTTGGTCTTCTAACAAAAAAAAAAACAATCCTTTTTTAATTCTGTTTGTTAATTTCCAATCCATCTCAAATACAGCTGAGCCAAAATCAGAACCTTTCAATCTAGGAGCCATTACATTTTGGGGGGTCTCCTATTTCAGTTCCCCAGATCCAAACCCACTTGCTGGAGCGCTGGCTGCAAGTCAGATCCAAAATTATAAGGGGCATATTTCCCAGTTCTGGTAAAGGGGAATCCAAATCTCTGTGAGAACAGTTCCTCTGGAGATTTCCACTAGATAGGACTAAGATCTAATGAGAACTGGTCAAGAGATGTCATCAGCGTTGAAGCAGAACTTAACCCTTAGCCCTGATGTAGCCTCGAACCTTAAACTGAATCTAATGTGGATATGAACACTTCCTCCCTCCTAGGCCCATCTCTGATCTAAAGGTACAGACCAATATGACTGCAAAGTTTTAGCGAAACAAAGTCATTTTTCACTTGGAGGAGCACAAAAAAGCATGTTACAGCAGTAACTGCTCTTTGTATGAGGTACTTATATGGCCTCCATTACCACAGTATCTGAGCACCTCGCAATCTTTAATGTATTTATCTTCACAACACCTCGGGGGTAGGGCAGTGCTATTATCCCCATTTTACAGATGGGGAACTGAGGCACATGGAGTCATGACTTGTCTGAGGTCACACCAGAAGACTGTAATGGAACACAGAATTGAACCTGGATCTCCTAAGTCACAGGCCAGCATCCTAACCATTCCTTCCTGCCTCTCGTTCTCTCCCTCTGTTTAGAATTCCTTTAAATTTAAGTGTAGCTGACCCATTTTTTTTATTTTAATGTGTTTTTAATTGATTGTGTTTAGTGCCGCTGAAAGGTGCTAGACTCAGGAATCTAGCACTTAAGTTGATGTTACTCTGCCGGTCCTGGGTCAGGGATCTTGGTATGTTATTAGATTGTAACATGGGGATGATGATGCTTGTGCACCACCATCAGGACAGTCATAGTCTGACCTGGGGATTTTAAGCGGGTAGCCCTGAACTCTCACCCTGCCTCAAAGAGTTTGAGTTCTTGATAAGTTTAAGTATTTCTATGATCATTTCTTTAACCACTAAAATATGAACAAAATAATTCTCTTCAAAAATGTTAATAGCTGCACATTGACAATCAGACTAAAAGCTCTGATTCAGCAAGATTTTTGACCACATGCCTAACTTTATGCATGTGAGTAATTCCATTGATTTAGCCTGCCAACCTTTTCTGCAACAGAACATAATGCTTCTAAACTTCCCAAAACGCATTGTGTTAAGGGCTATTTAGAGGGCAGACTATTATGTTGTTCAGTACTTTGGGACTCTTTAATATGCAGATCATTGATACCCATACAAATGCCTCCAAAGTAGCTGTTGTTACATTATAACTTCAGTAGGACTACTTGCATACTCAGAGTTAAAGATGTGCTGAATCACGGCCTAGACTAATAGTAAACTCCTTTTCGTCAAGCAAAATTTAACCTTTCAGGCTCCAATCCTGCAGTGGGATCTGCAAAGATGAACCTTTACATCTGAGTGGATCTGGTTTCAGGATTGGGTCCAAAGTTTTTTTTTTCTTTTGTACAAGTAAACTAGCAATAGCATACAGCAGATATTTGGCATCACCTTATATATCTACTTTATAATAGCTGCTTAGAATGTATGTATGTTTGTTTGTTTGTATGTCTGATACTTTAACTTAAAAATCGACCTGAAACTAAATTCAAAGATATTATGGCCTCTAAGGTAATGATCTTTATGAACTAGAATGAAATGTTTTTTGTTTGAGGAATATTAAGGGAATAAAGATCAACTAAGTTAAAATTTGACAGCTTAAATTTCATTTATGAATTCTTTATTTTTTCATGTGGGTTTTATCCTCTTACATTATTCAGAATCTGTCTGAGAGATATTAGTTTAGAACAATGCAACCGCAAAAGATTGTCATGGAAAGCCAGTAATTCAGAAGGATGATTGTGTTTGTTTCAAAAACTCTGAAAGATAACAACAATTATATCTTGAAATGTACAGATGCTGTCATGTCTTCAGAAAGAAAATTAAATGAAAGTGACTTGCTTAGGTATACCTGGGTGAGGTGCTTTCTCTAGCTGATCAGAAATTAATAACGCTGATACACTGCACACTGGCTAAAATTCTCAGCATGATTCTTGTCAGATTGTTCTGTAATATTGCACTATAATTCTATTGCTATCCTTTATTCAATTCAGTGGACTGGATTACATTTACAAAAAAATATATTATTTTTTAGCAAGTCTTATCGTTATTTTATAATAGCATAGGAGAAATCCTAGTTTTGGTTATTCCACTCTGTGGGCCTGTTTCTGCCCTGACTACAGAGGTGTTACTCCTGATTTACGTTCATGTGAGTGAAATAGAGCTGAATGAGGTCCATAACTAATCTCTAAAGGACAATATACTAGATGAGTATTGCTG